GAGGGAGGGAGGGAGGGAGGGAGGGAGGGAGGGAGGGAGGGAGGGAGGATGGGTGGTGGTGGAGGAGCGAGAGGGCATGTTCGTATTCTTCTTCGTCGCTTCACCTGAGTGGAGGAGATAAAGAACGTCGCCTCGTCGATCCCGCTAATGCTCATCTCACAGTACACGTGCGGCTCCCGCAACTCGCACAGCTGGCCCGTCAGCCCGCTGTTGCAGGTGCAGAAGCAGACAGAGGGGAAGAGCTTGGAGGAGGAGGCGGCATTGCAGGTGATGTTGCAGCAGGCGCTCTCCGTTATGCTGCTGCCGCACGTCTTGAGCACGCAGCCCGGGAGGAGGAGGGAAGAAGTTCCGCAAGCAGCAGGACGGGCGAAGAGTTCTCGGTCAGTGGAGGACCACTCAACCAGGAAGGAGGAGGCGGCGGGATGGCCGATCCTGCTCCACAAGGCGATGAGCGCGTTCTCTGACGTCTGCAAGCAGCAGCCCATGCTTCTCACGTAGTCCTCCATGTCTGCTCGGCAGTCGTTGGAGCACTGACCCCTTGAGAAGTCGAAGGAGGGGCTGAAGGGGCTGCGGGAGAAGTTGGAGGAGGCGGGGGGAGGGCACCGGATGGGGTGAGACGGGAGGAAGTCAGGGAGGAGAAGATCGCATCGGAGCCCGAGATGGTTGCGAAAGCAGACGGAGCTGAGGTAGAAGAGCGTCTTTGAGAGAACGAGCACCTGGCAAGGAATCGGTCATTGCTCCTTCTCCTCCTCTCTCCTCTCCTCCTCCTCCTGCTGCTGCTGCTGGTGGTGCTGCTCTCTACACGCACGTCTTCCTCCCCTTCTCTAGCGCACATTCTCTGTCTCCTCTCTCTCGTTCTGCTCGCAACCTGCTGGAAGATTCGCTTCCCCACAATGTTATCTGACGTGACCCTCGGTGGGTCTCCGCTGTCGATGCATCCAGTACAAGCTTGCCACACGGCTCGGCAGCTCTCAGTCGCGTTGGTGAGGAGCTGAGAGGAGGAGGGTCAAGAAGCAGCGCAGGAGGGCAAGTGGAGGTACGAGGATCAGGTCCTGGTAGCAGCTGCTCGTGCACACGGCTTCGACGGAGGAGCTTGGCATGCCCTTCCAGTTGGCCTCCTGGCGGGAGGGGAAGACGATTGCGGCAAGAGAGGAGCAGGAAGCAGTCTGGGCGAGAGCGAGGAAGAGGTTGTCGACCGAGCGATTGCAGAGCTGATAGATGGAAATGAGCTGCTCCGCCTGCGGAGGAACGAAGAGAGGGACGGGAAGCGCGAAGACTTGCTGCTGGCGGAGTGAGTGGCGGAGGGAGGAGGGGATAGAACTGAACAGGTGGGAGGAGGATAAGGGAAGAGGTGGCAAGAGGAGAGGATGGAAGATGGAGGAGAGGAGAGGAAAGGAGAGAAGAAGTGGGGAGGAGGAGAACGAGAAGGATGGAGGAGAACGAGAAGGATGGAGGAGAACGAGAAGGATGGAGGAGACGTAATACAAGGGAGTGGAGAGGAGGGAGCAGCAATGGTCGGACCTTATCCACGGGCTTGAGGTTGAAAACTTGAGCCCCCACCGGCTGTTGGACGAAGGGGAAGTTTTGGTCAGCGATGGTGGGGAAGCCGAACCGGCCGGCGAAGGAGGAGGGGATGTAGAGCTGGTGCGAGAACCGGGCGAGGTAGGAGCTGCCAGTGAGCTGGGCGACCTCGGGGGTGGAAGGGGTGAAGAGGGCGCGGTAGGGGAGATGGAGGAGGAAGTTGATGGAGGAGAAGGACCAGGAGATGGTCAGTGGCCAGTACTTGTAGAGCTCGTAGCGCGAGAAGATGTCGACGAAAGTGCAGGGCAGGGTCTCCGTCGTCTGGCAGGGGCGATCCGTGACCTTCCAGCTGGGCGTCAGGCGAGTTGACAGGCGGGGACGAGGTGAGGGGCGATGAGAGTGAGGGGGTTGAGGGGGTGAGAAGAGAGGAGGGAGAGGGGGTGGGACGGGGGTGGGGTGTAGAGGAGGAAGAGTCCAGCAGAGGTTCACCTGTGCAAAGCGGATGGTTCCCTCGGCTGTCCCCATCATCGTGCTCTTCCTCCCGGGTCGCCTCAGGTCGCCGCAGCTCGAGATGCTCAGCACGATTCTCTCGCCGCTCACGCTGATCCTGACGCGGCACCTGAGCTGCTCCGCCTGCTCCTGCACCGCAAACGTCGTGAAGCCTTCGGGGGTCGAGAGCAGGGTGGAGCAGGAGGTGAACAGCGAGCAGCTGCCTGCTGGGTTGTAGCTGAAGAAGCTGCAGATGGCACGGCTGGCACAGGCTCGCATGCAGTCGTCCAAGGTGGAGGAGGAGACAGTGGTCACGAATCCTTGCCCGGAGCAGATCCCCTCTCCCTGCTTCTCTGCCAGCCCCAGCTCCCGCCCGTAGACCTCCGTCTCTCCCTCCCAGTTGCCCTGCAGCAAGGTGGTGCTCTCCTCGTAGGAGGTGAAGAAATGCTCGTTGACGAACCTAGGCTCTCTCACTCCTCCTCCCCCGAACTGGCAGGGCCCAGCGCTTGCATCCTTGCTGACATCATCGAACTTGAGCATGAGAGACCGCGGGTCCGGCGGTGCTGGGGTGGGGGTGGTGGTGTTGAGGAGGAGGGAGGAGTCCGTTGGCTCTGCTGGGGTGCTGGTGAGCGGGGCGGGAGGAGGGAGCCAGTCGAAGGATGAGTTCTGCAACGAGGGGATGTTGGACTGGTTGACCGAGAAGGCGATCTCGAGGGGCGGAGCTCGCATCCTGCCAGAAGTGAAGACTTCGTCCTTCACGAAGTTGTACTGGACCCTACAAGGGTTGGCGATCTAGAGGAAGCCAAAATCAGATGCCAAGGAGGCGAAGAGGAGGAGGAGGAGGAGGAGGAGGAGGAGGAGGAGGAGGAGGAGGAGGAGGAGGAGGAGGAGGAGGAGGAGGAGGAGGAGGAGGAAGAGGAGGAGAAATAGGCTTGAGGGACGACGGTTTGCAAGAAGGTGAGAGGAGCAATTATCAGAGATCTTCGAGCAACTAAAGTTGGTGGAAGAAAGAAGAGGTGAGGGGGAGGAGACCTTGAGTGTGGGGATTGACGTCTTGGTGTAAACGCAGGGAGTACATCGAGATGCTTTTAGGTAGCCGGGAAAATCATCCCTCATCGCTGTCTCATCGTAGACAGCGATCGATTCCCCTTTCTGCTGCATTCGTCACCCTCGCAACACCCCCAACCCTGCTCCTTCCTCCCTCCTGCTTTCGCTATTTTGTCTCCTGCTCCTCTTCCTGCTCCTGCTCCTGCTCGTTCCACCACTACCACCATCACCACCTCCTCCTCCTCACCTTCAAGAACGACAGGTAGATATTCAAGTAGATCCAGTCGCCTTCAGGAGGAGCCATGCGCCAGGTACACGAGGAGCTGTAAGAGCGAAACCCTACGGGGGTCTGAATGAGCCCCGAGAGGTTTGTTAGGGTCAGCGGGGAGGAGGAGGAGGAGCAGAGGCACTGAAAGGAGTTGGTGAGGAGGTGAATCTGATCATTCTGCGAGTCGCTCCTCCTTCCATCCCTGAAGATAGACGGGAAGAAAGTCTTCCTGCCTGCCAGCCTCCCGACCACGTTGAAGTCCATGCTCCCGATCATGGCAGGGAGCTCCGTCCCCAGCAGCTTCCTCCTCTGCATCAGTGCGAGGAAGGAGCCCTGGGTCTGGAGGTACTGCAGGAAGTCGTTTCCAGAGCTCGTGGAGCACACGCTGGGGGAGGCAGCACTGCAGGTGTATCCCTCCTCTATCGTGCAACTCTGCGAGCATCCGTCGCCGCTCCTGATGTTCCCGTCGTCGCACTCCTCCAGCAGATGCCACCTGCCTGCCCCGTCCTCCACGATCTTCTCGGCATCGCACAGCTTGACCCCCCCGAACAACTCCAGCCAGCAAGAGGACGAGCGCGTCTCTCTCACCCCGTTCCCGCACCGGTCGACGTTGGAGGTGGGAGCTGGGGTCGTGACGATGATAGCTTCCGTCGTCGCCTCCGCTGCCGTTGCCGTGGTCTTGGCGGACGTGGTAGCAACGAGCGCAGTGGTGGCCGGCCGCGTAGTAGGAGCAGCTGTCGGTTGAACCACCTCCGTCCTGCCGTTGGACATGCACTGAGGAGGAAGCAGCCCCTGGCTGATGAGCACAGGGCAGGCGATGCAGCAGCTTCCTCCCACGCACTCCGTTCCTGTCCCGACCGTGAGGGTGGAGAAAGAGAGCTGGACTGTCGTCCCGACGAAGCAGGAGGTGCATGCTGTTGCCCCGACGAGGTTGTTGTAGGAGCCGATGGGGCAGGGCTGGCAGTACTTGGAGCCGAAGAGCCCTGCTGTACAAGGAGGGCACTTGCTGAAGCTGAGCTGACGAGCAATGATCCCTTCCGCACACAGGATGCCGTCGCTCGTCCGTGTCTGCCCGACGTCTGCTGGGATGCATTCCAGCTGATCAAGGTAGGCACAGTAGATAGGCTGCAGGTAGTCCTCGAGCAGGAAGGACCGATTGGCCAGGATCACACCCCGCTGAGAGTAAGAGGAGGAGGAGGAGGAGGAGGAGGAGGAGGAGGAGGAGGAGGAGGAGGAGTTTACAGTGGCATACAGCACCATGTTGTAGAGTCCCATACCAGCAGAGGAGGACATGAGCATTCTGGAGCCTTTGGGGACGGCGTCAGGACCGATGGTCTTGCCGAGGAAGTAATTGGTGGCTGACGTGTAGGACCAGTCGAGCTGCCGGTCGCTGCCCTTGAAGATGCCGACCATGTCCGAGCTGGAGGCGAAGGAGGGAGGCTGCATATCCCACTCGACCTGGAACGAGAGGAACATCCCGTTCCTGTACACGCGCTCCAGGTGCAGGTCTACCTTGTAGCACAGCTCAGCCTTGTCGCTGCCTTCCTCGTAGGTGGTGAAGCCAGGGGGGCAGGAAAAGCAGGAGGTCTGCCCGCTGCTGTTGGCGTAGGAGGCTTGAGGGCATGGCTGACAGGGCTGGGCTGAGGTGACGGAGAAGGTGCCCTGGGCGCACACCTGGATGCACTGGTCGATACTCGAGGAGGCGAAGGGGCATGAGAACTTGGCGGAAGGGCAGGAGGAGCAGGAGTAGGAGGAGGGAACTTCGACGGTGACGTTGGAGTTGTAGAAGATGAAAGGAGGGATAGCATTCTTGATCCCGTACTGCGAGAGCCCGTAGGAGCCCGGGGAGCAGACGGCATGGGACGAGTAAGAGTTCCACGTGATGGAAAATCCTGCTCTCCCGGCCATGTTCGACTCCACTCGGATGGCGACGTCCTGCTGTCGATTGCACTGGGACACCAGGCGGAGTTCAACGACCTCTGAGGAGGAGAAGTTGGACGAGGTAAAGAATCTCAGCTCCTCCCCCTTGCGGACATCGGAGGAGGAGAGCGGGCAGTCGGCGTCCTGCGGGCAAGGCTTACCAGTGGCGGAGGCTATCCAGCTGCCCTTGGAGTCAGCGGCGACTGGAAGAGCCTCGGAGATGGATAGGAAGTCCAACTCGGAGAGACTTCCTTCCATTGTCAGCCTCATGACTACGAGGAGAAGCGAGTCAGGAGCAAGGTAGGAAGAAAGGTTGCTCACCGATCATCCTGGGAGAGCCGTAGGGTTTCAGAACCCAGCTCCTGCTCTCCGTCCCTGAGCTCGTGTGCGAGTAGGCAACCAGCTGCGCTCCTACATGTGTCTCCCCATCCCCGACTTCGCTCGGCCACTGCTCGAACGTCGGGGCCACGAAACTTGCCCGGAGGCTGCTGGGCAGGGGAGCTGGGGAGGGAAGACTCTCTATCTTTCTGACGCGCGCCTTGGGGTACGAGGAAGGGTCGTCGAGGCTCCTCCGGGCTGCTGCTCCTCCATCGCACTGACCTAGTGACACTTTGGCCTGAAGCAGTTCTGTGAAGTTGCTGATCGACTGCACCTCTATCGTCACCCTACAAGTCTTGCCCGCGAAGCTAACGGTGCTCTGCCATAGCCCGGAGGAGAACCCTCCCTGAACGAGCTTGGGGACATAGAGCTCTGAATCGTACCAAGACATCGCCTGCCCCTGGGGTTGCAAGACTACCTCGTCCCACAGCCGCGGATCCTTGAAGCAAGAGTAAGCACAGGAGACGGGACAAGCATCGCAGGCCCCGTCGTTGACGCAGTAGAACGCATTCAGCGCTCCTTGCGCGTACGTCTGACAATCTCCATACCCGATGTTGAAGGAGGTTGAATCTTGACCAGCCACAGCTACAACCTTCCCATTGGGCACCAGCAGCGTGAGTTGCCGCGAGCAACCAGTCTTGACTCCCACGACTCTCACCACGTGAAGCTCGTCAGTTCCTGTTGCAAGAGAGGTGAGGTGAGTGCAGGAGGTGAGGGGAGAGAGGGGGAGGAGGGGAGGAGGGGAGTGGAGGGGAGTGGAGGAGAGGAGAGGAGAGGAGGGGAGGGGAGAGGAGAGGAGAGGAGAGGAAAGGAGGAAAGAAGAGGAGAGGAGAGGAGGAGGGGAGGGTGTGAGTTCATCGAGTATGCACCTGTCAGGGTGGTGAACTGAATGTAGGACAGGCTGGACCCGGCCTGCACTTGGAAGTTGCCGCTGCGAGCGAGGGAGGGGCACGCTTCATCTAGTTTCTGCTGCGCAGAGGCGTCGGGAGTCGACGACGACAAGGACGCGACTTGCTGGCTCTCGGTGAAATGGGACCCTCTCAGCTCCAGCCTGTAGTAGCAGAAGGAGGAGTTGTCGGGCAGTAGCTGCATCCCTTCGAACGTTCCTTGCAGGTACCGCACCTCCTGTGTGGGTTCGGCAGGACACCTGTCCTGAGGGCAGGAGCCAGTGAAGCTCGCGTCGTTGCAGGAGCAATCGCTGCATGGCTTGCATATCCCGCACACGTAGAACCACCCGGCCCCTCCTCTGCAAAACTCCCACTTACAGAATTGCGAGACCCCACAGTCGGCGTGCACGGAGCACGTGGGGGAGGCGAACCAGACGCTGGGGGTAGCGAGACCCGCAAGCTCAGGGTAGAACCTGCCCGTCGGTCGCTGTGCATCCCCTGCGACCGTCATGACGGCTGCGAGGAAGAGAAGCTGCCGCCATGGAGGCATCGTAGGCCATCAAACTGCGGGAGTACCCGGTGAAACCATGGGGGTAGGGTGATACAGAACCGGTGATCTGTCAGAGCTTTGAATGGCATAAAGGGGGTGGGGGTAAGGAAATCGGGGGGTAGTGACCGGTCGGGTGAAGAGGTACGGCAAGGTACCCAGAATGACCAATGGACCACTTCCCCGCACTGACCAAATGATGTTGAGTTGACTAAAATTAAAAGATTATTCATTTCTATTGACTAAAATAATTCCCTACCTTCCAGGTCTCGTGGTAAATAGGACCCCAACACATCACTACCCTACCCCCAAATTTGTGGAAGAATACCCGGTATTCATAGAGGCGATTGGATACCCCTACCGCCCCCTCTGTGCAAGGAAAGCGCTAGAATGGTGTTCGATTCCAAGGGAACAAAGGCAATGTGCAGCCCCGGCTCCTCCTGCTCCTGCTCCTGCTCCTGCTCCTGCTCCTGATTCTGATCCTCCTGCAGTCATTTTCTTCCTCCTCTCTTATCCCGTCCCCCTTGCTCAGTGTGAGCCCTTCCTCGTCGTGATGACTATTACTGCATCATCCTATTACCTGAAGCCTCCCCGGCCACTGTGTCTCTGTCGATAGGTTCGGAACAGTTAGTTCTGACGACTCTGCGTTCGTGGCAGGTGTTTGTCGGGAACCTTCCTCCTGATGCTGAGGGAAGGGACCTCCAAGACTTCTTCCGCAAGTATGGGCAGATCAACGACGCCTGGGTTGCTCGCAAACCCCCTGGCTTTGGATTCGTCTGGTTTGACGACGACCGAGATGCGGTGCACCTCCCTTATCCAGTCGAATCGCCCTCAGCTACTCCTGCAAACTGACCCGAGCGTGTTTTCGCCGACGCGTCACCTCTGCTTTCGTGTTGCCTCTTGAGTGTCTGCCCTGCCGTCATCACGACACTGCGCGCCGTACGCCTGCGTCCGTTTCTCGACGCTTCGTGCACATATGAACCGTCTCTGCTTCCTCTGTATGGCTACGAAGCCGCCACACTCGTGCATACTGCGCTCGTCATGTTCATCCACATGTGTCTTCAGTCGATCTCTTCTCTTCATAAAAGGTGTTGAAGCGATGTGCATGCAAGACGAGCTGTTTCTTCCCGTGTATGGAAACTAGAGGGAAATTTCCTGACATCTTGGCGCAGAGGGATGCCTGTCAGGACCTGGACGGAACCGATCTGATGGGAAATCGAGTCAGGTTCAACTCAACCTTGATCTTGCTTGTCTCTACTCACCTCTGCCTCCCTTGAACAGGGTGGAGATCAGCACGGGTCGACGCCGCGATGACAGGGGATACGGTCGAGGCTCGCCACGTCGTTATGGAAGGTGTCACCTAGCCCTGCCATCCTCGTTCTGCATGCTCATCGCTTGACGCCAGATCTCCATCGCCTCGGCGCTATGGCAGGTGGACGCTAGGGGGATTGAGGAGGTGAAAGTGACGATGGTTCAGGTCTCCTTCTCCTCGTAGAGACAGGTCTCGCGATCGCGATCGCTCCCCCCGGCGATCCCCTGTGAGTAGCTGCAGGATGCGCGTGCTCTCCTTGACGGCTGGTCCTTAGGTTCGTGAGAAGCGTGAGAGGAGCAGGAGTCCGGCGGATGAAGGCAGGAAGTAAGTGGTCGCATGTCAACGGATGATGTGCCTTCCTGACTTTGGACTCTTTCAAAGATCTCCAAGAGGTTCACCCAGACGCGAGCGAGAGTGGAGTTAGACGCTACCGACGCCTGTCAGAAGCAGAGGCTCAATCGATGTCTAGATCACGATGTGTAGGACCCTGTTGAGTAGCAACATAGTTTAATGAATGGTTCTTTTGAAATCTTTTTGCTTTCCGTCTTGGTCCTCGAGCTTTTCTGAATGTTGTCATGCTCTTGTACATGTCCTGCAATCACCGACTCGATTGCAATCGTTGCACCCAAGTCAAAAAGGATTTCACAGCTCTACCCCTGTCTCTCATAGCTCGGCGACTTTGACTAGAGATCAAGAGATCTTTGTCCTCTTTCTGCAAGCTCCCAGCATACAAAGAAAGCCATATCGACCAGCATACAAACAAAGCCATATTCACAGATTCTCAGGTGCACATGTGTCAAGTTTTAAGCCTCCGCCTCCCCCATCTCCACGTCTCCCGGGCTCACAGGAGGCAAAGGCAGAGGGCTAGTACCAGAAAGAGCCATCTGCTCTAGCTGATCATCATCGTCATCCAAGTTCGCCTTCATCTCCTCGGCAAGGTGCAGCAACAACAGCATCTGCTTCTTTCTCAGCTCCATCTTCTGGTGCCTGCAGGAAAAGATCAGAATCACGGGTGGAACGTCAGGGTGTCAAGGGGCATTACTGTGCTGAAGTTTGCTCCTCTAGCCGGAGGAGTTGGTCTTGTAACTCGGTCTTATCCTTCTCTGTTTGCTTTCGAGAAGGAAGATGCTCAACAGTCTTGGCCAGCACGGTGTACTCCTCCTTGTTCTTGCGGACTATGCGCTCGTGGGCCACACGCTCCTTCAGCTTCTCGATCTCAGCAGACGTCTTCTCCATCTCACTCTGGAGGTCGGCCTGCAGAGACTTGTACGCCTGAACTTCACGCAAGCTCGTGTCAGCCACCACCTGGATCTTGGACATTCCGAATTCATAGAGCGCCAGGTCCTTGAGGAACTGCTTGTGTGCAGCCTCTATCTCCTCCGATGTTCCCTCCTCAAGTAGCGACGCGAGCTTCAGGATCTGCTGCAGCAGCTTGCGCGGCCTCGCTCCGTTGGCGCCATCGAACTTCGAGTGTCGCATGCGAGCGCCCAGCACCCGCGCCTCGCTCATGCTGCCCGCCTTCAACCCCACCCCACCCCACCCTCCAATCCTACCACCCCATCGTCGGATGAGAACAGGGGGTAGTCAACACGAATGGTGGGGGTCAAGTGTACCTTTATTTGATTAACTAAAACTGCAAGGTCGGGGTGGGTCCAGTGGCCTTTGAGGAGATGGCGAGTTTGAGGGCAGGAGGCGGCGGGTGGAGGATGCGATGGCAGGCGCTGGTCGTCCTCTCCTTCCTGTGCGGTACCCAGGTATCAGAGAGCAGGAGCCTGGGCCCGAGACATCCCTTCCAAAGGTGGCTGCACAGGTGAGCTCAGAGGGGAGGAGGACGATCCTGACTGGAGTTGTCCTAGCCACCTGCAGGACTTCGGCAAGAGAGTATCTGCAGGGAGAGCTGGAGGACCAGGACAAGATGGGTTGATGTATCATAGAACTTCTAAGTTGGCGAAGAGCGACATGTTGGAAGCGGCTGGCTCAATGAAGCAGGACGTCAACGCTTCTGAGTGAGTTTGTGTTGGGCAAACGGAGTGCTCGGTAAGTATCGTGGCAGGGGGATGATTCCGATCGACGTCACGTCCAATGTTTATATGGACCAGGGGGAGTTCGAAAGGAAATCGGAAGAGTGGATGAAAAACAACCAAGCAAGCGTACAGTCTGACATGCAATGGATCCTCTTCGGTTGCTTCCTGTTCGCGATAGGCACAGGTGTCCTGGTGTATAGCGAAGTTCGATACGTGCTCATGACTCGCGAATATGACCTTTGTGTACAAATCTCGAAGCCCATTGATGAATCCCTGTCTGCTCAGATGAGCGCTACTCAGAAAGTGCGGACGTACCTCAGCATTGGCGCGATTCTTGGGACAGTGGTGTCATTGTGGATCATTCTCTTTCCCTTGTGCCATCTCGCTACGGGGATGTTGTCGTCAATGGGTTATGCCTTTCAAGGTTGCTATGAGCTTGCGTTCATGGTGGCGTTTGTCGTTGCGGCCGTGTGGTCTCTCTTTGTGATCGGGTGCTGCTGGATCTGCACTAGGCCCTGGACGGCCATCTTCTGCCTGATCGTCTCGTTTGTCGGCGAAGCTTCTCTGGAGACAGGACAGGCACCAGCTGTGCTCATGTGGATCCTTGCTTCGCTGCTGTCCGCATACATCTTCTTCACCTGGGCTCGAGTAATTCTCAACGAGGACCCGAAGCCGGATCCCGAGAGGAGCAAGCTTGTGTCGCAGGCAAAGGTTTAAAACTCAGTGACGCGGACATGGGATAGAATTGTGTTATAATGAATATTCTTGCAACGACGAGGCCCTGTGGTCAGCGACAGTGAACTATCGAGTGAGAGCTGCGACACAATCCTGTAATGCACGTCAAACAAAACTCGAAATATAGCAACGAGCACGACCAATCCTTCCTTGAGCGACTTGAGGGCCAACGGCAACTGATTCTTGATGATCACGGATCTGGTTGCACGAGTTAGGCCTCGAAGCAATCCTCCCTTCGAGCCTTACTTGGGCTTACGAGGTTGGAACAGTCCGGCCGGAGCACCAAGAAAGACCAAACCGTCTTCTGTCAACATGATCCTGGCTCCATAGACTGCAAGATCACCGTCATTGCAAACACGTTTCAGCGCGTCCTCCGCTACCTGTATTCTGAATCTCCATGTACGGTTTTGTTCCGTCGTCCCACACGGTCCACTCATGGAAGTCCAGCCATTCAGCCAACAGGCTCCTTGAGCGCGTCTCATTCTGAAGTGCCTCGAGACTTTTAGGTAGAGGAAGAGAGCTTGCGTGAGTCACGCTCAACAACAACATGAAAAACTCACACATCCGGGGCCAAAAAGCCATCTTCAGCATCCCAGTGTATCAAGTTGTTGCGGACTAGAGGGATAGGCGAAATGAAAGGGATCGGCTCTCCACTGATTGAGACCCATGTCCCGTTACCTTCAGCTCCATGTCAGCAAAGTGACAACCAGATCAGTCCAACACGTACTGTTGTCGTGTTCGATGATTCTCACACTGTTTCAAATCAAATCAAAATTGATAAAAGGCTTGATGGGACAGAACACTCACTGGTTTGTACAACTGTTGAGCTCAAGCGCTGTCCCTAAGGTCTACCATGCATCATTTCAATGGCTTGCACGCACTTGCAACGTACCCGGTGTCGGAACAAGGCAACATTCCCAGAGCTCCTAGTGGTCAGGTAGTGATAGTCCCACAAGTCACCCACTCGTCCGGAATCTACAGCCATGTTGGCATGCATCAGGCACATGGCGGCATCAGCTTTAATCCCCTCCCTTCACCTCTCAGGCTCAACTTGTGTCCGAACTTGTCCAAGGCTCCTCCTCGCACTCTGAGGCACAGCGAAGTCGAGAAGTGTTCTGACAAGCGAGCAGCACCAAAGAGCGGGATGAAGCAGGCGAGCAGCAGGCTGAAGTCTCTTATTCTCATCGTTTCCTCAAAGGGTTTTCAGCTATCCCATCTCTCCCTCTCCCTCTCCCTCTCCTCCTCTGCGCTTCTGCGATCCTCCCATTGTCATGGAGATCCAACCCTTCACCGGGCCCTCATACATCCCGCACGACAGGCTAGAGTCTCTGAGGCGAGCTCTCCGAACAACCGGGCACTGCCGCAGGACGTCAAACTTGACAGGATTGCCATGGTTGTGGCATGACGGGCATGGCGGCCTGCCTTCACTCTTAGCTGCCGCCATGCAAGCTCGCGAAGAACAGCTCAGGTTCCCAGGTACGGCCATGCGAGCGCTGGAGCTGGAGCCGCACGGTACTGCCATGATGAGCTGCTGAACCATCTGCAGGGAGTCCCATTGCAAGGAGGAGGGAATATGCGAGACCAGCGACAGTCAAGGTGGTGGAGGATGATCCTCACGAGACCTTCCTCTCTCCGATCACAAGGGGTGAGCAACGATGCATGACGCGCGGGAGGGTGAGAACCGGGTGAGCGCAGGTATGGTGGACTCGCGGCATCACAGCAATGTTGGCCTGGAGCTGCGGCCCGTTAGTATGTGCCTGTCTCCAGAGATGGAAGAGCAAGTCTACTTCCTCATCGAGCGAACTTATCTCTCCAGCCCAGCTCGCTTGTCCAATCAAAGTGGGCGATCCTTTGCTCCTGCCACCCTCTGATTGTGGAGTGACAGTCTCTTCCCTGGACATTCTCATGTCCATCGATGGTTTCAGCACGACGGGAGCGTCTCTTGCAGAGGTAACTATCCTCTGCTCTATCCTCTGCTCTATCCTCTGCTCTATCCTCTGCTCTATCCTCTGCTCTATCCTCTGCTCTATCCTCTGCTCTATCCTCTGCTCTATCCTCTGCTCTATCCTCTGCTCTATCCTCTGCTCTATCCTCTGCTCTATCCTCTGCTCTATCCTCTGCTCTATCCTCTGCTCTATCCTCTGCTCTATCCTCTGCTCTATCCTCTGCTCTATCCTCTGCTCTATCCTCTGCTCTATCCTCTGCTCTATCCTCTGCTCTATCCTCTGCTCTATCCTCTGCTCTATCCTCTGCTCTATCCTCCTGGACTGTGACGGGAGTCTGATCAGGTGGAGGCAAGACTAGCGGGCCCAAGGGGTAAGACGGTGACGTTAGGGATCTTGCTGCTAAACAGGAGGGCAACGTCGAGCCGAGGTTCGAACCAGTCGACTTTGGTGCCAGTAGTGACGACATGGCAGAGAGGTACCAGGAGTATCAGTACGTCGAGCTCGTGCGGGACTGCCAGTACCTGAAGCTGTCTCCACTGAAGAAGATTGGCTGGCCCCATCCCGACCTGTATCAGGTGACCTACCTCCTCTTCCTCCTCCTCTTCCTCCACTTCATCATCATCATCATCACAACCACCATCGCAGATCCCATGACGGTGTTGTAACAGGAGCGCGCTCTCAGCTGCCTCACGAGAGAGAGCCCTTTCCGAAGAGCATGCATCTCCTGCATCGAGAACAAGCATACGCCCCTCCTCCTGCTCCTGCCTCCTGACCAGCCAGTCCAGGTGGTTCCAGAACTTCGGCCACCTCTGCATCATCTTCTCCATAGTCCTCCTGTCCTTGGAGGATCCCAGCACGACTGCCAACCAAGTCTCGCCCCTGCAGACCGGCAGGTCAGCGGACGGGCTGGCCCCGAGGGCCCGACGTGACGTGAGGTGGCAGGGATAAGACGTGCAAGACGACCACTGGCTCGATCTGCCGCTTCCCCTTCACCTACAAGGGAGAGACGTTCAGCAGCTGCACATGTGAAGGAGAGAGGATGGAGGAGGGAAAGGGCAGGGAGGGAGGAGAGGGAGGGAGGTGGGAAGGGAGAGGGGAGAGGGAGGAGCTCACTGCTCTTTCTGGCAGCGAAGGACAACCTTGGGATCCAATGGTGCGCGACAAGCACTGATTACGTCACCGGGGTAAGAGACCTCCCTCTTGCTCCTCCTGCTCCTCCTCCTCCTCCTGCCTCCTCTTGCCTCCTCCTCCTGCCTCCTCCTTTCTCTCCATTCCTCCCGCTCATGTTCACCTTCATACTGGTAGGACACGAGCTGGGGCAACTGTAACCCCCTGCTCTGCGGCGGGGGGTGGACCTTCACATGGAGCAAGGCGATCAGCTTCGGCAAGTTGCGGAGGAGAGAGAGAAGAGGGAGAGAGAGAGGGGAGAGAGAGGAAGACAGGAGAGTGCGGGAAAGAGGGAGGAGACGAGGAGGGGGTGGCGGCAGGGGCAGGGAAGTGGCAGCGGGTCAGTCATTGATATTCTATCTACAGGGAATTTCTGTCTCACGATCTACTTCGTTCTCGAAGTTGTTCCCTACATCGTTGCTCATGGTACGATTGAGATCCTCTCCCCTCAACTCCTCACCCGACCCGTCAGGATTGTTCTTCGGTCAGAACGCACTTTTCTCTAAGACAGGCGAGGCTGATCGCCGTCGACTCGTCTGAGGGAGCTGACGGCAGCCAACAGACAACTGCCTCGACTTCCTCCTCGTCCTCACCAACATGGCCGACGTCGTTCTCTCCTCCCTTGTGTTCAGCGAGGTCTAGCGCTTCCTCTGCTTCCTTGAAGTCACTGGGCTGCAGGACGGCAGGAGTTCCGGCAGTTCAGAGCTTATCAGGTGACGTGGACGCTTCTCCTGCCTCTCCTCATCCTCCTTCCAGAGCCGTCCAGGTCCTCCGCGTCCTCCGCGTCCTCAAGCTCGCCGGGCGCTTTCCGCCCGTCTACAACGTCATCCTCCTCTTCGGGCAGGTGGGTCGAGGGGGACGACGCGGGCTCCTCCTCAACTTGTCGCAGCTGCAAGACGCTCTCCTCACCGCGCTGCTGATCAACGGCATGCTCCTCCTTGCTGTTGCTGTCATCGCCATGGTCGCTCGCCCTCCTGCGCCTCCTGCACCGTCTCTGACCCCTCCCTGCAGCAAGTGTGGTTGGGGCAGTTGAGTATGCGATGCTTCAGGTACGCAAGGAGAAGGAGAATAGGAGAGGAGGCAGGAGGAAAAGGAGGAGGAGGAGGTTGAGGAGCAGGAGACAGGAGCAGCATGAGACATGAGGAGCGGCAGCAGGAGCTGGAGACAGGCGGAGGAGGAGGAAAAGGATCAGCGGGAGCAGCAGGAGGCAGCAGGAGGACATGAGTCGAGTGGATCTGACTAGACATGTTTCACCCTTTAGTCAAGATACAGGCCTGATGTCAACGGACAAGCGAGCTTGCGATCCCTCCTCCTCCTCCTCCTCCTCCTCCTCCTCCTCCTCCTCTGCCAACCCCTGGAGCCTCCGCCTGACAGGGCGAGGGTGCCCAGCTGGCTTCCAGTGCGCTCCCAGCTTGATCGTTCCTTCCCTCGTCTCCAGCCCCTCCCTTGACTCCATCGCTTCCTCCTCCCTTCAGCTCCTCAAGGTCTTCACCCTCGAGTCTTGGATGGATCTCTCCTACAGCCTCATGGTGACCCTACGCCTCTTCCTCCTCCTCGCCCCCCTACCCCCCTCCCCCCTCCCCCCCAACGCCTCCTACTCCTCCCCCCACCCCTCCTCCTCCTGCTTCTCCTTCCTCCTTCTGTTCTCCTGTAGTCCACCCCTCCTCGTCTCTCCTCCCTCCCATGTCCT